GCATTTTCGTAACTTATATATTTTTGACTTTGACTTTTGACTTTTGCTTTCTGCAATTCGATTGGCTGCTTAAAAAAGTACACGACTTCGGCGAAAGTCAACGTTGAGCAAATGGGCCTAAAAACTCAATTTTCGTTTGACTTTAGGGACTGCTCGTCTAGGTATCCGGCAGTCGTATCCGTAAGCATTCGGCGATCGCTCGGCGAAGTCGATGGTTTTCGTCGCGCCTCCACTGAGCTCGGCCCAAGCGGCTAACTTCGCGCTCGCGCACTATGCCGCGTGTCAAGGTGACGTCGTGCGAGTTATGCGCATCTCACTGCATCAACGCGTTAATCGTCTGTTCCGTATCACCTGACAATACAGGAACAGTGAACAGAACACCAATATATAGAATCACAGCTGACGTCGTTAGTTACTCAGAGGCAGAAATTTCTTGAATGAGGTGCCCCAGCCTTACGGAAGTTGTAGTACTCGGATCAGTCTGACAGTCAGATATACACCAATACACCAATCCATATGTATCCGAGAATCGTGGTACGAATGAGAGAAGACACAATGAAAGTCGATATTGCGATCAAGTAACATTCTTTTATGCCACAAAAGCGGTCACGTATCCAGAAGTATCCGGTCACTCTCTCCGCTCGTGTGGCTGTATTGCGGCTGCGTCAACTTTCTCTCCGGTCGGTCCTAGCCAGGTGCCGTCAAGGAGGGTGCACCAAGCAATTTTTCTTTAAAGCAATAGGAGATAAATAAGTGTGGCCGTAGGGCCACGGGGTCAACTCTAGTCATCTGGTTAAGGCAAGGAAATATAACGGGACAGGCATAGCTAAGCGCCAAGCGCTGTGGTGTAGTAGCTATTCCGTATCATCCAGAAGTTACAGAACAGTAGGCTATGTTGTTTACCTTTTTGTTTCGGGCGTTGAAGAGCAAATGCATTTGCACCCAGGATGTATTTATGCTGGAAGTATATCTGGTTGGTGTCGAGAAAGCCACCATCAAATTGCTTACCAAGAACGATTGCATTGAGAACTCATCACCCATATCGGACGTGAATTTTACTGAAGCAAACATGAGAAATTGACATGAATATGGTAGTGCAAGCGACCTGGACGCGCGCGTTCAAAAATGTCTGATTTAAGGCCTTAAGCTATGTCGTCGAGAGCCCACAGTTTGTCGTGACGGATGGTAAGAATATAAACGGACAGGTATCGTCGTTAAGGCCATGACGCCAAAAAAGGTCGTCGATGCCTTCTCCGTTGAACCCGTTGGCCGTGCAGGATATCAACGAGTCCAATGGTACAGTAGTAGTGCATGGTCGAAAACCCCGTGTGAAGAAAGAACATCTTCTGAGCACGCACCGAGGCTTTAGCCGCCAGCTAATGAACAACGATGCATACAGCATCGCGTGGGCTTACAGGCTCCTGTAGATACGGTGCCACTGTCTTGACTAAAGCATCGAGGCTTCTACCGTTCGTGCGGAAAGTGATATAGAGTATGACACGATCACCGTAATCATGGCGTAAGTCGCGTTTCCATCCAGATAATCAAAAACGACGTCTATTGGCACGAACCGGCGCAGTGGCCTAACGTCGGGCCTATCGTCTATCAAGGAGCTCGTTCTTCATGGCTGATGTGGCCGCTGCTACAGCCAAGGCCTTGCATGGGGAGCTATCCGTTCAAACGCGCGCTTAATTTTCCTTGTCTATAATTTCATTCGTACTAGTATCTCTTATGTGATTGCCCGACTACCTTTGTACTGGCCGTAATACGCCTCGGGACATGGATTCTGAGAATGTACATAGGGGCAACCCCGATCACCGAACACAAAACATGAATTCTGGTCTATACAATGTTTTCAACAGGATCCTTGAAAAATAGATACCAAACACAGCCTGAGAGACCACAAGCAACAAAAAGCATCCGTTGCGATTAGGTGTACACGGTGCGTATCATTTTGGCATGGCTAAATCTCCGTTTGGACGAGCGTAGTGAGTAAGCTGTCTCGCTCTAGTGCTTCTAGCGTGCTGTGATTGGCCGAAGATATGTTCCATACTTTCCTATACTTTAAGTGAAAAGAAAATTGGTACACCCTCATCGGATCACTAAAGGCGCTGACAGTCTGGAGGCGAAGCCGACTCTGTCGCGAAGCGGCCCCAGGAGTGAAGCAAGTGCACGCACGCAGTACGCAAGGCATTGGTGCGCGTAGCGCGCCAGCTGGTCCATCAGTGCAGTCTTCGTAGGGCTTGTGGCGGGGGTTTCCATACTGTGATTGCCAAACGGAAGTTGCAGGACTTTAAATGGGTATAGATAGTGAAAGCAAATATAATGGTGCATGGCGCCACCATACTCATTACAACAACGGTGAAGCAGTCAGATGATCGAAGTGAGGCCGCGTAGCGGCAGAGACAGGCGCGGTGTGTGTGTGCACGCAGTGCGCCTCGCATTTTGCTGACGAGCGCAGCGAGTTTGCCATAACGGGTGCTACTGACCGTGACGCACACGAACATGCTCTCGCGGACAAGAAGATGAAGAAGAAGGCTACGGCTGCCGGTGTGACAAAACTCTCTCTCGAACTTTCGCTTTGGTGGAAGCACCGGAAGGCTTCCGTGCGCTTGAGCTTGCAATCTTAGGCTCTCTCTTTCCAGCCACCATCTGACCCTGAGCACGAGCAGAGATGGCAAGCGGATTCGACTCAGAACCCGACTTTGATTTGAGCCTTGACGCCCCACCGATGGTGCGACGTGCCACCGCTTGACAGCTCGCAACGATGAGCCTGCGCTTGCAGCCGTCACGTGCGCCGACGACGACGAGCTCGACGATGACATGGGATCGACAACGACCAGGGGAACGCCGCCGAGAAAAAGTCAGCGTTAACAATGAATGAAGCGGACGTTTTTATCGGTGACGACGTCTTGGACGTGGAGGACATCACTCAGGTGCGCACTACAAGCCGTGGAGCACGAGTCGCGTGCTGCTCTATGAACGACCATCTCGAGGTCCACGTTCTCGACACAAGCTGCAAGATCCATCTACGTATGCGAGTTTTGCGAGGCCCGCTGCACGCCGTCTAAGTTGTACAAGCTTGACTCTCGCTGCTGCAACAATGGCGAGATTGCCGTCGAGCACGAGTGATCATCGGATCGTCACCAGCCTCCAGCAATCTGCAAAAATCATACTCCTAGCTGCAGTAACAACGCCGTCGGGGTGTACCACCCCCGATCGCTTACAAAGAGGACTGCGTTCGCCATTGAAGGAGCTTTGTACTATTTTGTCTGCCAGGATCGGACGGATGCGCAACAAAACTATCGCTGCGCTCAAATTTACGTTTTTGACTGCAATTCCCGATCGGGACGCGCGTGCCGCAACCAAACGATTCTACTATTTGGTTAGTTTTGTTGCTTCAAAGCCTGCATCATACGCACAATGAGTGCGGAGGTAGGGCCACAGCCTGAGTCACCTTAGTACTAGTATATGGTGTGGATGGTTGTGCTCTCTATCGAAATGTATAGGTTGCTCCGTCCTTGTGTAGTGCTTCATATTGCGGTATTAGTCTGCTGCGCACCCTAATGTCGGCGCGCCGAACATTGTGCCATCGTCTAACGCTACGATTCTAGCGCGAAGTAGCGCCTACGCGATGCAGTGAAGTGATAGCTGGATGTCGTGAAGAAGATACTAGTACTGTCCACGGCTTCTGTACGGACGCAAGTTTTCTTTCGAACGCTTGATGTGTGAGTGCTGTGCGCGTTCGCGTGCCCACTTTGTCTTTTTGGCTATTCAACTCGCTAGCTCACGCTATGCTGCTTCGTCGAACCGACGTCCGGGTTTTACGCTGACTCTGACGAATTGATGCCGCCCCGGCTGACACGCTCCCCGCGGCTGCGAAAGCAAGGCACCTTCGGCTGCGAGCTCTCTCGCCCCAACTGTCGCTCTCCATGCCAGTGCTGTAAACGACGTGACGCGCTTGCGACAGCTCCAGCGAGGCCGCAGAGCCACTGGGCTCGCTCCATTAGCATTAACCAAATCTAAATGTATGTACTAGTAATAGCTACTTCCCAGCACGAAATGGAACACTCTCGAGGCCTGTTCGAGACAATGGCACTCGAACTCGAACACACTCGAAGCCAGTTCGAGACTATCGCACTAACCGAGCTTTGTCTTAAGTGGGGATGACCGTCACGAGTATGCCTCAAGCGCGTAACGGTAACCACCTTCCGAAGAACACCGCCGCGACGAGACAATGGAGCGCTAGCGCGTGAGCTGCGCGCACCGAACACCAAGCCTACTGCGCGCGAGCTTTTCTCTGCTTGTGGAACAGCTCTGCCGTCGGTCGGCTTCGCCTCAGCGTCCGTGCTGAGCGCTGCCGACCTGGACCACTTCATACTTGCTCGGTTATTTTCTCGCAAGAGTGCAGTGGGCCAATATCAATGAGTTAGACAAACTACCAGTTGAGGGTACGTTGGAGGCTTGCGTGGCTTAGCCATTGTATGTAGCTGCTGCCAACTACTACTTACATTATGCACATCTTAACAGCCAGCAAGTTGTTGGGAGTTGGCTGTTTTACAAGTGCGGAAGGCTGATATCACCGTTGTTCACGGATGTAGCTCGAATAGTAGCGAGCTCTAGCCGTTTTCATTGTGCGCTGCTCAGAGACAAGTGGTCTCAGGGCATGACGATTGGACGACTAGCCCAATAAACGCTTCCTCAAGCTTGGGCGTGGGTTGAGCACATACGAAGGTGTTGTATTGCAGAGCACGACATGGAGACAGCCACGGATTGGCGCCGCATCGCAAGCCTGCTGTTGAAGACGGCTCCATCCATTGACTCAAGACATCGGCAAGGGAGGTAAAGTGCATCACAGACGGAACTGCTCAGGTCTCAGCTCGATTTGAAAGCGTCTCAGACGTCAAATTGCGGTTTTCCTCTAATTTTACCGTAAAAAAGCGGTATTTACGGTCGTCATCAGTTTCTTGCGGCTCGGAACCAACGGCCACGCAAGGAGGATGATGCGCGAGATCTTCGACACGTTCTTAACGGACCCAGTCCTCTTGTCGGAAGACGTGTACGTGCTCTGGCTCGAGGGCCAGAACGCAACAAGCGCTCTGGACGTCCGGTTCCGGTCGTATGGACCATCGCCTGTGTCGTCCGACAGCCTGCCGGATGACCGCGACGACGAGCTGCGCGACCTCATTTGGAGGGACACGGTCGACCAGTATCGTCTCTTTGAGAAGCTCGAGTCGTATTTCATGCACCCAAAGCTCCTTCGCACGCAGCTCCTCTTCCAGATCCCAGCGTGGCAGCAACAAGAGATGACGGAGAAGTACTACGGCCTCGACGGGCCCGTCGTGCGTCGCCTCGTCGGAAAAAAGCTCACGTCAAAAGCGCAGAAAGACCTCGATGAAGTCAGCGAGCAGTCGTTTAGGACGCTCAAGAAGTCCCGCCTCTTTCGTACCGGTTCCAGTCTGACCCATATCCGTGCTGTAGTTGTCGGCGCCAGTTTGAGAACCTCCGGCGCGTCTACGCCATGCTCGAAGAGAAGAACTTTCAGGTATTTTGACACGACATGACTAAGCATGCACCAACGGTGGCTCAAAGGGCTGTATTGCACGTGCCATCAGCGATCATTTTCTCATTTCAGATCGCCTTGCCGCGAAGTACGCCGGCATCGTCTTTCTTGTCCACGGGCGTTTTGAAGTGCACATGACGCACAAGACGGTCGGTTTCCTGACATGGTCAGATCTGCAGTTCTTTGCAGCGCTGCTCATGGGTCACTGGGTCACGCCATCCACGAAGCGCCACTTGGGCCCCACCAAGCTCGCATGTAAGACGCTCTCGGCGTCCATTGCGGTCCTTGCCGAAGGGTCTGCGCTGCATTGTGTTCGGCTCCGACACCGAGTTACCCCAGACGCTGTGGTGTGTGTATATTTGTACTGTTGACCTTTTTACTTGGTTCACAATAATTCCTAGGACACGACCGAAACTGACTGGCCGTCGCTCTCGCACCTTGAGACGAAAGTGACGCCAATGAGCGCTCGTTACTGCGTCGGTGTCGACCTTAACCAACGCATGACGAATGCGCTTCGGGACCTCAAAGCGCACTTTCTCAACGACGTAGAGACTCTGACCGAGTACCGCAATATCGTCATGGTATGCTCGCGCCCTGCAGTGAATCTTCATCAATTTGCTATTAGCTTGAGCTTCAAGCCAAATTGCAACCAGAGCAACTCGACCACCTTGGCCTGAAGATGCTACCGATAGCGCGCGGGGTGCGCTATATAAATTCACGCATGCAGTATTTTGGCTTGATCTCTTATGATGAGAAATGTCAACGTAGCTGCTCACGATTGGCGCTGGGCTCTCGCAGCCAAAAGAACTCAAGGATCTCATCGAAGACCTAGTGGACGCCGTAAGCTTCTCGACATTTGGTGGTCGTACTGCAATGATGTGTTCTTCTAGGCTGGGCACGTGTTTAAGGATTCGAAGCTGCGTCTGACCGATATTGATTTGGTGTTCTCGGCGCTTATTGAGTACGTCTCACCCCTCCCATCTTCGTCGATTAATCAGGTCCACGAACGCTAGTTCATTGAGTGCTATCGACGTGTGGTACCTCAACGCAGACGAGACGCGTTTGCTCTTGCTTGCGAGCTGGGAGCTCTTTCTCAGCGTTGTTCGTGGCGTGCTCGTTACCATTTACGACAGACTCTGATAATTTCACATATGCATCGGTGGGTGTACACTTAATGTATCTGCATCATGCAGCTAGAATTACTTGGCCCACGGCTTCGTAACCGCTGTCGCAACCGGTGGCGTGTCCAAGCGGGCTTGCGCTTCCGTTGAAAGCTTGTCTTCGATCGTGCGGATGCCGGGAACCCTATAAAATCGGAAGTAAAATGCTGCTCCAGTGTAGACCATACGAACATACTCTTCGCCGTTCTGAACCATCTTCATGACATCCGCGAAAGACGTAGGGTAGCTCGGCTCGGTGCTTGGGATAATAGAGCTACCACTGACGTCATCGAGCTCGCTGCGCGCCGCCTTGTGCTTGACATCTTGCTTCGCACCGAGCTTTTGCAAGAACGATTCCAGGTTTGGGGTCTCAATCGTTGTTGCCACTGCAGACTCGACGACAATTGCCGATGGCGCGTGTGCCGAGAGAAAATTCTCAGCTGCGAGCGAGAGCACATCACCGTTGTTGGCGGCCGCACTCTCAAAAGCGGAGACTGCGGCTTTTAAAATCGTCAAGTTCGACGGCTGACCGTGCCACTTCCATTCCATGCTCATGCCGACCTTCTCGAACCCAATGCTCGTAAGTAGAGCAACATGGTGCTACAGATCGTCAGAGATTTGTAGCGCTCGGCGTGTGCAGAAATACCTGAAGGGGTTCGATCTTTTGCTTGAAGTTTGCATTGCCCGTCGCGATGCGTCGGTACCGTGGTACGTCCGGTTGCTAATGGAAGACATGAATGCATTGTCAATAACAATAATGAGCGTGTACCTCAACCAAATTCTTGGTGTACATGATGAGAATGCCAGCCGCCTGTTTAATGACGTCAGCGTCGTTCTAAACATCAAACCGTAGTGTTAGCGGAGAAAATCTACGGGCTTGTGACGCACGTTGAGCTCGACGAGGCGAAGAGCGTCAAGCATCTTGGATGCTTTCGTCTGAAAGTCAGCTAACGCATCGAGAACCGGCGCCAACTCCGTGGGTGCGTTGGGTGCATCCATGGCGACAGGGCTCACGTTTGCAGCGATCAGCGGCTGCAGCTTGGTCACTGCCGCTTTGAGACTCGAAAGCTCCGCGCGCAACTCGGTTATACTTTGTGACGTTGTTGTTTGGCTGGAAAGCAACGCTCGCCGCTCCTGGGCCTCGAGTTGCATGATGCTCATGAGCTTGACCATTTCAGCTGTCTGTGCTTGGATCGCCTGGACAAGCGCCGTTTCTAGGTTCGCAGTCGTCCTGATATGAGGTACGAGCATCAGGAAACACGAGAACCGTTCGAGGCTGTGGGCGCACGGGCGTAATCGACGGCCGATTCGGTGTCCAGCTTTTGAGCTTCGTCGTATTGCATAAACTTCCAGAGAAAACCGAGCGCGGCCGTCGTGCCTGCGAGAGGGAAAATCGTAGACCAGATCGTAGATGACGCTGGCGCCGGTGCAGATTTGGCGAGCGCAAGGTTAGCTTGGTGATGCGCCTCGACGGCAGAGTTGATCTCCGCTCGCGAAAGTCCCTTCTTTTCGAGGAACTCAAGACGCTCAGCCAACGGCGTCGCCTACGGTCGCGTCTAACTTGGACGCAAGCTACGATGGACGCGACCGTACCTGCACGTCCGGGTGGCTTAGGAAGCGGACGCCGCTGGCGACCTTCTCGGTGTCAATGGACGCGGGCGTCGGCGCAACGTCGGTGGTCTCCATCGCGTTTGAATCGCAAATTCTTGGTCACATGAAATCCGTACGCTCAACTCATCGAAGTTGAACTCGAAGTTCGAAGCGTTGAGTCAACAGTGGCCTTGATATGGCGCTGTAGTGCTACCAAGACTCTTTCCTCACCTCGCTCCTCACCTCGCTGCCCCAATGCTTGGTTGACCAACGCTGCAGTCACCAATGCATGACCCATGCTATCATTCAATCGTTTATCGGTTTGACTGCGAACGCGCGTTATGCTGTTTGGCGCTCATTCTGGATCACGCGGACGTCGTTGAGGAAATTGGCAAGTTCTTGGAGAAAGCTCGGCTCGTCGCTTTGGCCTGCCCAGCTGCTGAGCACGCGCTCCGTTTGGCTCGCATCAAGGTTCGGGAACGTCTCCGCGATAAAGGCGTGGAGCGCGTTGTTGTAAAAGCTTGGGAAGTCCACGGACGCAATGCGAAAGAGAAGGACACAAAGCTCTTCGCGGAGGAGGTCCACGTGACCGCTGATGAGAAGCTTCAAAAGCGTGTGCAGATACGGCAGACGCACTTGGTCTTGAAACGCGTCAAAATCGAAGAGCTGGTGCGTCTTGTGAATGCGCTCGAGGAGCTGGACAATTTGCTTGCACACGTATGGCGGCAGCGCGGCTTGGGTAAAGATCGTCCCGACGGCTTGAAGTATCGACACGAAGTACCGGCGGGCGTCGTCGTTCGCGAATGCCTTGCGTCGGCGCCCGCGTCGTCAAATGTCATTCGGGACACCACAAAGAAGCGGTAGTGCTTCTCCAAGATCTAGACGAACATGACAGCGCGCATCGCATCCAGTCACGACGTACCTGCTCCATGAGAGCGATGAAGAATGGGACGACCGTGTCATAGTGCTTGTGCGCAAAAATGAGCTAAGCGAGTCGTGAGATCATTTTGAAATGGAATATCGTTCGTACCTCGTGCAGCGGGCCGAAACACAGATCCAAAATGCTAGCCATATTTTATGAGTTCACTGCTGTTCAAAATTGAAAAGAGTACCTCTGGAGAAGGTTTGCAAACGTGGAGGTGCTCTCTTCGACGAGAATGCGAAGCAGTTTCAGGAAGCCGCAGAGCACGGCAGTGCCTGAAGCCCCGAGCGATTCGAGCCTACAGGATGACTTAGACGGTGTCGTGCACACATAGAGTCGTACGCCGCAGTAAGTGGCGCGTGCTGGAAGAGCTCGACGAAGGTCGCGATGATGCGGTGAATGAGCTCCGTGGGCATTTCCTTCCGAATTGAGTTGAGCACATCCGTATAGAGCCCGACAAGCTCGTTCGTTGCGCCGACAGCCGTTGCAAGAGGTGCTTTCGGCGTGTTTACATTCTGGTGCAGGTACGTGAGGTACAGGCGCACGAGCGAGAGAGCAGTGGACATGACGGGCATCACGTGCGTCGCGAAGGACAACTTCATGGCCTTGGGCTTGAGGCGAATCGACGTCGCAAGCGCACGGCAGATTGACACATCTCGCGTCAGCTGCGTCAAGAGCGATGTGCTCCCAACGCGCTGGTCATTTTGCTGCAGCGCGACCGTCGACTCGACAAACGAAGTGACGACAGGAGCAACGATCGCCTCGTATGCGGACACCCACTCGACCTCGGTCGCTGATGGCTGCAGAATCGCGTTGGAAACCGCCGTGTACAAGTTGGCTTGAATGAGAGGCGGAAGATGTAGGCTGAAGCGAGGAAGCGTCGAGCGCAAAGTCGCCATGGCTGCGATCGACCCGTGAAGGCCATGCGGAACAACCGCACCGACGCTTGCAAGCAGATGAAGAGCCGCTTGCATGACAGCCGATGGAGACGGAACAATCGACGTATCAAGCGTTTGGAGGATGACTTGAACGACCGACTCCATGACGTTGAGCACGTCGTTTGTCGCACCTGACTGGAGCACGAATGGAACGCAGCTCATGCAGAGCCGAACGCACGCAAGGACCTCACACTAGAAATGGAGGGTGAACGATATTCCTTGACTATGCAAGCTACTACCTCGAGCTCGACAAAGGCAGGACCACGCGTATGCAGTCGGTGTCCCACAATGTACTCGGCGAGCTGCAAGAAGAGGCGCAAAATCGACCAGCCTGCCATCTTGTCCGAAATGGCGTTGCTCGCGCTGTAGTGTTGTGCCGCGACGCACGATAAAAGCGCGCATGACACAGTCAAATCGCGGACCTACAATAAATCACTTTAGGTTTCGCATATGTCAAGTCGTGACGCACCGCAATCATTTGAGCTTGCTTGGCATCGCCCGACGGAATTGGCGCAGCATGGATCTCCAAAAAATGTGCAGATTGCGCTTGCACGATTGGTAGCATCTTCTCAAGCAGCGGCGGCGCACAGAACGGTAACTATATCCATGGGATTAAACAAAAACGCAAGGCGTTGGGATACCTGCGCAATCCGGCGAACGAGCGAGAAGCACTCGAAGACGAAGGCCTTAAGATCCGACATCTCTGCGGACTCTTGCGCCTGGTCTTGGAGGGCGCCGGTGCGGATCGCGTTGAGCAAGTTGTCGCTTTCACCTGCAAGCTCGACGCCAACGGCGACTGGTAGAGCCTCGGGCGCTGGCTGTGGCTCGTCATCAAGTTCTTCGAGTTGGGCCTCATTCGTCGAATAGAGCATTCGGTCCACCAAGTGCATCATGACACCAACGAGACCGCCTTCGTACGACCGCAGTAGCGCGGGCTGCAGCGCTCCATGGGCTTCGGCTTCCTCGACGTGGGAGACAAAGATTTCCCAGACTGTGAGGCAGTGAAAGAGGCCTGAAACGTGCGGCTGGTGCTGCGTGAGACGCAGTACGGCAGCAAGAAGGTCAGTGAGTCCCGAAGCAAGCGTGGGGGATTCAAGCCGGCGCAAATGTTTCGTGAGAAATGCCTCCGTGAGGCCCGAGACTTTGTCGAGGTATGGCTCCGCCATGGCTGCCATTGCGGATGCGTCGCAGCATTCCAGGAGCGAGAGGAGCCCGCAAAGGACACGTTCGATGACCACATCCGTGACCTGGTGCGCCCATTTCTTCGCCACGAAGACCACAAGCGTGTCACAAGCGGCTTGGGACGACGTATCCATGGCGAAGCGAGCGCTGTCTGCAACCTTGGCGCGGTTCGCCGCGAGCGCAAAGAGCAAATCGATCGTGTTTTGAAGGGTGGCCGGTGTTGCGTATTGCGGCATGTCCAGTGTATAGAGTTGCCCCAAGATGCGCAGCGCGGTGGTGGCCACCGCGTCGTGGAAAGCAGCAGTGTGGGGCAACGGTGCCTGCAGCTTGGACGCGACATCCGATAGCACGTTCGTCGTCAAATTGACGAGCGCGTCGAGCTGCGTCTGGAACTGCGCGCGCTGCCGCGTTCGGTCCTTTGTGAGTGTCGGAAAGAGCCCTCGTGCGTCGTCGTGCGAGACGCAAATTTCTTCGCACACGACGGCGAGCAACTCGAGGCCCGCGTGGTGGTACGTTGACGACTTTGGAGCCGCAATTGTTTCATGAAGCTGGCTGAGAAATTGGATCAACGCGTCTTGGCGCAAGACGACGTAGACAAGCACAACCCGCAGCTTCGACACGACGTACGACGGCATCCCGGGTGCTGGCTCAAGTACAGCTGTCCAAATGAAGCTTACGAGCTGCTGCAAGTCGAGCTCGACCGGCGATCGCACAAGACCTTCTAACGTTGCCACTGCAAACCACAGACGCTTCTCGTCGGTTCTAAAAGTGTGTTGGCCACATAGTCCATCAGAGCTGCACCTACGAGGTCTGGAGCAGCTGTAGCGCTACGAGCTGCGTCTTGTAGGGCGCGAGGAAAGCCATCGCACGAGCACGGTCGTCTGCGGTCGCTTGGGGGGCAAAGCCGAGGGCTACATCGAGCGCCCGGTCAAAGTCAGCGTCGGGTTCCATCGTGCGTCGCCAAGCACTCGATGAAAATGAAAGATCGACCGCATGTTTTATCACAGAATTCAATGATCAATACATTTCACAAGTAGTGCAATGCTAAGAAGAATAAAATTGCACTCGGCCCGTCACTAAATAACCGGTTGCGAGGCGAATGTGCGCTCCAAATGAGCCGGTTTTATGCGCTAACCGGTTCGAATCCGTCTCCACAGTGGCTGGTTGGTAATTTTGACCGCAAGACGCAGCATGAGCGGAACCCGCCAACGCCTCGAGCGCTTCTACGCCAAGTATAACCCGGACAAGGTCTCGGAGATCGATGCCGCTCTGGAGCGCTACAAGGGTCGCGAGGCTAGCCTATTTGAGGCCCTTGTGCGCAAGTACGGCCCCGAGCCTGCGGCCAACGAAGAGATCACGTTCGTTGATGCCATGACGCTGCGCCTCCAGGCATTCTACGAAAAGTACAACCCGGAGAAGATCGGCGAAGTTCCAACCGTCCTGGCCAAGTATGCGGGCAAAGAGCGCCAGCTCTTTGAGGCCCTTGTGCGCAAGTACGGCCCCGAGCCAGGCGACGAACAAGAGGAGGACGACGACGATGACGATGATGACGATGACGACGACGAAGAGGACGTCATTACACCTGAAGAGAACCCGCTGTCCAAGGCGATTGTCTACTGCCCCATCGACAACCTCCCGCCGGACTACTGCGAATATGGCCCGATGTTCAACGAGTGCAAGCCGTGGCTCGTCGAGCACTGCCCAAACCTCTTCATCCAGAAGTACAGCCGCACGATCTCTGAGCTCGTTGAAGTTGAAGCTCAAATCGCTGCTGGCGTTGAAGGGATCACGCTGGAGGCCGAAGGCAGCAAGAGTACGTACCTCGTTGCATTACACTTGTTGTCACTCTCGCGACTCGATGTGTACTAGGCGTCAAGAAGAAGAAGCAAAAGGCAGCTGAAGAAGGCAAGCGGGGCGGCAAGGTTTTTGTTGAGCGCTTCCAGCGTCAGAAGAAGAAGTTTGTGACCGTCATCGCTGGCCTCGACGAATACGACCTCAACCTCAAGGACATCTCAAAGCGCATGGGCAAGAAGTTTGCTTGCTCGGCGACCGTCGTCAAGCTTGACAGCGGCAAGAGTCAGGTCCAGCTGCAGGGTGACGTGCAGCACGACCTCCCGATCTGGCTTGTGGAGGAATTCAGCATCCCGGAAGAAGCCATCTTCTTCCTGGAGAAGGGCAAGATCGACCCTGCGTTTTAAGTGATGGCCTCGCATTACAGCCGCGATGCAGATGAAGACAGATTAAATTCATGATGTTTGATGATCGTGCTTTATAAAGCTGCTCACAGCTCGAGCCCCTTCTTGCGCAGAAACGCTTTGGCTTGCAGGTCCTTGTGGTGCCAGTGGGCGCTTGTACTTGGACAGTTCCGCAGGCGCTGCATCCTTTGCCGTACAAGACGGACGAGGTAAAGCGCGCTGATACCCGACAAGACGACCAGGGCGACGACGAAAGCGTGCAAACTCGGGACATCGAGAAGCACGGCAACGTCGAGCATGATGGCGTCCGGGTTCGTTTTTGCAGTACGGATATTTGGGTACTCTTTCCGGATGCTGCGGCGACGAGAAAAGTTAGGTACAGTCTGCGCACTGAAGAAGAAGATGCACCCCGCGGCGGCGCGGGGGTGCATCTTCTTCTTCAGTTGGCTTGCGGCCAGTGCTTGCGGCCGCGAGTGAGGCTCATGACGACACACTTCGTGAAGTATTTCCAGGCGTCGCGATCGGCGGCAGAGCTACTGTACGCAATTTGTCAAGGTCTTCGAGAGACGCCAGTGACTGAGGCTGCGTCAGCGACTGGAGGTCGCGTTGCGGGACGATCGGCAACGTGATCTTGGTGCGGCCTGAAAAACGGGGTGCCTCGGGCAGGGCAAAGAAGCGGGCGGCGGCAACGAGATGAAAGGGACTACTGGTACTTTCTCCAGGCGTATATATATATGTAGCACGTGACCTCGAATACTAGTACTCGTTAATCTTGCGGATTACAAGTACATACACCTCCTGTGTATGGTCGGCATCCAAGAGCGTAAGCATCTTCGGTGCGGCAACCGAAACGCAATCGATATGTGTCATTAGTGTGCTCGCAATTGTGTGGAAGAGTACCGATAGGTTGATGTTGAACTATCCTCAATAAAATCTTGCCAAGCATGGGACCGTACTACCGGCAGTACTAGGGTAAGTATGCTGTATCGTGTAGTCGAGGGGTCAAATGCATGCCCTCGATATGAAACAGATCGAAGTGATTCGGCGTGTTCAAGGTCGCAACTGGTTCGTTTCGTTATCCAGAGGACGGGGTCCAAAACGACGTGGGCAAAGAAAGTTTCGTGCTGATCAGCTCAGCGGCAGGTGGGCCTTTTGAAGTACTAGCAGACGAACTTAAGGTTAACGTTCGTGAGCGCTGCGCTACCGGGTATGAAGAACGGGTAATGTTTGCGCGCTTCGTCGCCGTCGCCTTCCACTGTTGAGAAAACTGAGGGTCACACTGCCGGCTCGCAATCGCTTACTACACTAGTACCGGTACACGAAACACCACGGCCCGTGATTGGTCAATCGTCTGCCTGCTCATGGACCAATCAGCAGAGGCGGGAGCATGATGACAGAGTCAGTCTGTCATTTCCGCTTGGCGTCGAACGACTGCATACCGAGATGTTGAGCCTTCGCCGCCTTCGCCCGCTCTTGCTGCACCGCACTTTCACCTCGTCGGCGCGGCCGCTCCTAGACATTTATCAGGAGGCAGTGACGAAGCAAGAAATTCGCGCTGATGCCGTACAGGTCAAGGCACTGGCGCACCTCCAGCGCCTCCAGGACGAGGTGCTCGCCATGAGCCTCTCAACGCCTGTTGCCGCTGAGATCGAAGAGCCGACATCCATATTTTCAGCCTGGTTTGGTGCAAAGGAAGAGCGTGTGCCTGAAAAGATGGCGAGTCCGAAAGGCGTCTACATGCACGGCGGCGTGGGCTGTGGCAAGGTTTGCTTCTTGCTACGGTCACCCTTCTAATGAGATGTAGACGTTTCTCATGGACATGTTCTACGACAACTTGCCGATCGAAAGCAAGCGCCGGGTGCACTTCCACAAGTTTATGCTCGAGGTTCACGAGAAGATGCACATGCTGCGCAAAGCAGGTAACGCATTCGGCCAGAGAGTATCGATAATCCGACATATTTAGGCTTGCACGAGGACCCCATCCCGCACATCACGAAGGAGCTCGTCGCGACGAGCCGCGTCATTTGCTTTGACGAGTTCCAGGTCACGGACGTCGCGGACGCGCTTATTCTGCGCCGCCTCTTTTCGGCAATGATCGAGGCCGGCAGCATTGTCGTTGCTACATCCAACCGTCCACCGACAGTACACTGCTGTGGTTTTGCATGACATTGTCTGTACAGTTATTCCTTGGTAGGATTTGTACAAAAACGGTCTTCAGCGCGACCTGTTTTTGCCGTTCATTGCACTGCTTCAGGAGACGTCTGTCGTGCACTCTCTGGACGAATCTTCAACGGACTACCGCAAGCTCAAGGGTGAAGATGAAGTCGAGCACGTGTATCGACAGCCTCTCACGGAAGCCAACCAGCGGCTGTTCTACGAGCACTTTAAGCTCTTCACCAAGGTATCGATCGTCCGTACGTTAAGGTACCGTCGCCACACGGTAGATGTAGGGCGACGCAATCGAGCCCGTGAAGCTGCACACGCAGGGTCGTGCCGTGAACGTCGAACACGCGGCGATCCGCGAAAAGGTCTGCCTGGTTACGTTCTCCGAGCTCTGTGACAAACCGCTGGGCGCTGCCGACTATCTCGTCCTTGGCGAGGTACTGTTTGATTTAATCAACCAGCACAACTCAGATGTCATGTAGGCTTTCGACACGGTGTTTGTTCAAGACATTCCGCTCCTCGATATTAGCAACCGCAACACGGTACATTTACGGAAACGGGTCGCCCACTTAGGAAATGGATAGACACGCCGGTTCATCACGTTTGTCGACTGCATGTACGAGAAGAAAGTCCAGCTCTACTGTCTCGCGGCCGCGCTTCCGATGCATCTCTTGGTGCAAAACCCCGAGAGCAAATCCGTGCTTGACGAAGCGTTTGCGTTCGACCGAACAGTCTCCCGTCTCCTCGAGGTATTCGCAAGTTGCGGCGTGCAATTTGTCAACTCCTGCGATAGATGCAAAGCGAGGAGTATGTGACAAAGGCCATCGATGCGCAAAAGCCGGACCGATTCGAGCTCCTCGAGGCGCTGCGTGCCAAGGAAATTTTGTACGATGATGTCAAAGTACGTCGCGTGGCATAATGTTTTCAACGAACGTGTCTTGTTGCGACTAGAGACTCTGGAATGAGTACAACACCAACGCCAATGGCTTCTTGGAGGAGCACGAGGTTGGGTCATGAAATCAATCCGTCTGGGGCTCTTCAAGTTCATAGATGCGTATGCTGCTGGAAGACATTAACGAGCTTCACAACGGATCGCGCGATGTGCCGCCGCAAGTGCTCGAAGAGATCTTCCGGGAATATACAAAGAAGCTGCCTCGCCTTACGTTCCCTCAGTTTCAAGCTTTCTGGAAAGCCAAGGGCCTTACCAAGTGGTGGTAAGTTGATACGACATGGACCGCTATCCAGGCACCAAATACCGGTATATATATCTACTGATTGGACTTCAAACAAGTTATGCATCTTTTTGAGCGTGATCCAATCTCTGTGTTCAACAATACATGCTTGGTACGATGAGGCAAGCCAAGTCTATTCACCGAGGCATTTTCCCACGAACGGGTCATGTTTATGACCAGTAGTTGGTGGAATTTTGCCAAGTGCGAGGGGTGCGATAAACGAACCTGCATTCGACGTCCAGGATTGGAACTTGGTCAGGTTTGCCGTCTTATGTTTGGTTCCAGTGTGTACTTCTGTACCTCAATCACATCTTGGGGACGAAATGCCACAGCATAACGAGCTGTATCCTGAATGTCATGACGTGGAGAGCTGCCGTGGAGGCGAGAAAGCATCGTGTCAACACATCCCCTCTTGATGTTGCTCCATTGCGCACATTTGGACTCGACATGCCGCGGGCACAGTTATCGGCGACTGGTATTTCCCACCCGCGTGGTAGTTAGCCAGAGAATACGTCGAGTCGTTGGGGCCCGGCCTCACCATTTAGTCATAGCCCACTTCGACCATGTCTGGATGATGTTGCGCAACCGCGTACGACTAGGTGATGTGGCACGGGCGGCGTGCCGGTATGTCGTCGACGCATCTCTCTGGCTCCGACACTCGTTTTGCGCATTCGAGTCTCCCCGCCAAGCATAGTTGCTCGGACACCCTCCGTGGAACACTCAAGACGGCAGCTATGCAGCAGCATGCAAGTTCACGAACGCAGCGGCCTCCGTGCCTCCACGACGAGGTATCGAACGGTCCACTTCGTGCCGTAAGCATTGGGTGTGAAGTTGAAATTAAAAAGAGAAACGTTTTGACGGTGGACCAAAGTCATTGCGGTAGAATTCTCAGTTCAATTTACGGTAGGCAATTACTCTAAATTTGTTCAAGAGGGGATCGTTGAGATAATTCAAGCAGACTACCGGGAATCGGGAAGTTTAAGGTGTTGCCGCGTCAACATCTTCGACGATCAACTGTAGGCGTCGCCGAGACGCAGTGTTTCAGTGGCAAATTTGATCTTTGCACTGCGTATAACACCTTAGGTATTGAGAAACCAAGATGAAAAGTTAAAAAGTGCATCAAGTATACAGCATACTATCTAATCTTGCTTTGTATTTCCCCTCAAGCCTTTTCCGACAAAAAGACGTGCAGGCACGCCTCGGTGTCGGCAGTAGCCCGCCCACCTCAAAGCACAGCGGTGTACCTAACGCGAGACGAGTCAAGCTTCGGTGCCACTACTATTCAATGAAGCATGTTTGGTGACCACCGCCTTGCGGCAAATGGCCCCCCAGCAGACAAACTACATAGAAAAACACAAGGGTATTTCTATCCGCCCCAACTTTAACTGTGGTCCTCATGTATCCGGGGTACAGTTGGTAAAATGACGCGGGATCGATAATCTATGGTGTTCGAGTACTGTGGTTGCGATGGCAAATTCTACAATGATATGTCTGAGCAGTTGGAAATGGCTGCTGAGCTCGCCACCAATCAATTCGAGCACAGCGGAGTCACACCAATTCGATAAATCTTATGTTCATCAAATAGTGTATGAACTACTTGTGTGTGTGCCGTACCAGTACGTACACCGCATTACCGGTACATGTACTATGTAGCTCCACTCGTAGTGGTATAAGTTTTGTAGCTCCATGCATGCCCTGCACGCACGATGCTCACCAGTCCTTGGAGAATGGGCATGTACTAACATGTTTTCATACGAGAGAAAGATCCTGCAACGTGGAACATGTAAGGCGATTCATGAGGGCATACGGGTACAATTGTACCAGTCCCACACCGAACGGTGCAAATACCGGTAGGTACTATTAGTAGTAGCTCACAAGTGTGGGGCGTCCTCACTGGCACACTACAAGCAGTCAAGTAGTAAAATGCACAATCCATGCAGTACACGTGTTGTGGTACTGGGTTTTGTGCAGTTGAATGCCGAGCACACGCTGCTCTTCATCAAGGTCTGTCGTGGCATGTTGGCAGCCAAGTGAAGGGACGGCCATTACTCTCATATTTCGGCCAATCAGCGGCCAGAATGTGTCCCAGTGACTTTTCCCTTGCCTTTTGACGGACCGCGTGGAAGCCAGCATGACGTCGACGCTCCTTACTCTCGTATGCGCGCTCTTTTTCGGCCTCGTGGCAGTTGCCAGGTACATGTGTGCATGTAAGCTCTCCTCCACTGAGGGTGGTGTAGTGCTGTGGACCTTGAAGGCCGCATCCACCTGCCTGCGACGG